TGATTCTCAGCCAAGGGCATCAAGAAAATCAAAGCAAAGGCACTTTTGACTTTAAAGAAGCACCTAAGGATGCTCCTAGGTTGGACAAGCAAACAGTATGTGATGATTAATAACCTGAAGCATTTTAATGCTTATCATGTTGCTGGATGACAAATTAAGGGCAGATAAGACAGCTTCCCTTCATAAATGAAACTACAGTCTTTGGCAAGATTCGCCATCAAGAGCTTTCACCACAAACCCACCACAAACACACCAAATAAAGCACAAAAACTGATTTAATACAGCTTTCAGACAGAACAATCTCTCTCTAACTTATCAACAGATCATTTGGTCTGCAAAACACACCTTCATCCCTTAGGAAATACAGGTWGTACATTGCAGATAGCAAAATTTTAGCCCCAGGTAAGCAGTCACCCTTTTAGGCTAAAATTACAATTTTCCAGTAACTATAACAACTAATCCTCCTAATCTMTCTCTAATAAACACTAAACATTGATACAGCAAGGTATGGATACAACTGAGTAAAATCACCAGATCACAACTCACATTGTGAGATTTCACTGGAGCAGCACTTCCCTCCCACTCCACATTTAAAGACAGAGTGTCAAAGAGAAGTGAAAGCAATACTCCAATACAGCACTTTCCATCCACTGTTCTCATTAACCACCTACATATTTTGTAGGAAAGGARAAGTAAATATTTAAGAGTCAGTCTATTTTTCATATTACTCAGGAGAATATATAACAAGAGTAATATAAAACTATCATTRAAAAAGATACTATTTTCACACTGTTTTAGTTGAAAGTCTCATTCATGTGCAGCCCTGGGCCCATACAGTAACTTACTTCACTTCTACACATGAGACCCCTCAAACACCTTGGCCAGCAAACTTTGAATCACCCCTTTCTGCCACATTGCCCACAATGTTGTGCATGAGCGATATGCATCTTGAAAGAAAGAAACCAAGCCAAATCTGGAACTGAACCTGGTAAGCRACGCAAAAGAAGGGCTTCTACATGTATGCTACCCAGATAAAGAAGGTGAAAGCAGGTGTTATCCCAGATAAACAACGCTGGAAAACTGGTAACAACACATAAGGAGAAGACTGATGTACTCAACACCTTTTTTGCCTCAGTTGTCAATGACAGCCTCTCTTTCTGCACTTCTTGAATGGATGGACAGCAGGATGGGGAACAAAGCCCCTCACACTGTAAGATCAGTTCTTGACCACCTGAGGAACCTGAAAGCGCACAAGTCTGTGAGACCCTATGAGATGCATCCCTGAGTCCTGAGGTAACTGGCTGATTTAGTTGCCAAGCCACTCTCCACGATACTGGAAAAGTCATGGCAGTCAGGTGAASTCCCAGGTRAYTGGAAATGGGGAAACATWGTACCCATCCTTAAMAAGGACAGAAAGGAGGACCTTGRGAGCTACCACSCTGTCARCCTCACCTCTGTGCCTGGGAAGATCACAGAACTGATCCTCCAAGAAGCTGTGCTAAGGCACATTGAAGACAGGGAGATGATTYAACAGCTGGCACACCTTCACCAAAGGAGAGTCCTGCCTGACCAGCCCAATGGCCTTCTATGGTGGGCTGAGTCCATCAGTGAGCAAGGGAAGAGTTACAGGTGTCATTTATCTGGACTTCTGTAAAGGCTTTGASACARTCCCCCTCAACACCCTTCTCTCCAAATTGGAGAGATRGATTTGATGAGTGGACTGTTAAATRGATAAGGAATTGGTTGGACGGTCAAATCCGGGGGGGTAAAGGTGCTCCCAGAGTTAAGSTGGTACAGAAGCCACAGGAGCCATGTACACTAAGCACCCCTCTTGGACTCTTAAAAGTATGTAAAACTCGAACCAGATCTTTAGGAATCCCAGTCTTAATGAAGGCTACAGAGTGTCCTTGAGAAGTTTCATTAACTGGTTGCTCTGTTTTATTCTACCCTAAAGACACACTTTGATRACTGTAGCTGGAACCTCATTGCTGCTCCTCTCCACAGAAACTTTCACTATCAGAGATGTCTGTGAATTGAAAGATACAGAAAATATTGGGTCACCTGGTCTGACACCATTCATGGCTGTGCACAATTAATTCCTTTCCTCCTTATGACCACATCCATACTCAACAGATACATGTCCCCCCCTCACATGAACCCCCGCAAGGCACTGGTTCTGGAGTCCATGACTRTGTGCTTTCTCAGGAGTAGAAAACCATACATGAAATCTGTTTTGGYCAACAATTAGCACAGTAACATTCAAGAGATCATTTGACTGTAGCATGACTGCCTCTCTATGTTCCGGCTGCATTTTTCTGTCCAATCCCTTCCATCRAGGATGTAAGAGTCTAAACGATTTGGCTCCCCCACACCCTCCATTGCTTTAGACTGCTTATAATAACAGGATTGAACAGCTTATTTTGAGCATTCAGAAATCCTTAAGTTATTGTGACACCCCTGGTTTTCTTGCATTGAACAACTCAGAAGAAATATTCCTAAAAAAATCTCTGCTCCTAAAGTGCAATTATTTCAGCTCAAGAAGTATTTGAACAATTATTTCACATTTTCAGTTCTGTTGTGCTCACTTTTACAGCAAAAGACAACAACATCCTGGCACAATTACYAAGGGATTGAAATGGGAATTTTATGCTTAATCAGATGCATTTCTTTACAGCCATATCCTCTATTTTCCTCTCTTAAAATGCAGAACATAACAACAAAAGGCATTCTTTGCCCTGGTCATCCTGCCAGAAACAACCAAGTTAAAGAAGAGGTCAGTCAGTTTTGACCTAAGTGTGGTCACAGTAGCAAAAAGTTTTGCACATGACTTTTCACTCCTGCAAAAGTGTCAGTAGCATGAGTTTTGTTTTCTAATCAGTGTGAAYGTCACCGGAACAATTAAAGCTAGACTTAACCCAAACTATACCTTCAGTACTTCTGCCCTTAAAAAGTCACTTCAGTCATTAAAAGCATTCACCTTGAGTTTACAGTTGAGAATTTGTCTATAGAGAGATTTATAGCCATGACTAAGACCATCCTGCTCGCATCCTTATAGTMAAAAAAATGTAGCACTGGGTGTTCTAGAGAAAACTGCCTACCGAAACAAATCACCAAGTTGATTTCTGTGCTGGCACGTAGCAAAGAATTACTTTGCCTGACATAGCACCACAAAGCTTGGACCAGCCAGAGTATGGTATTACAGAGGTGGTACAATAGACTAGGAATGACTTTCCTTTTTCATGATTTTACAGTAAAATAGCTCCAGTGTRCCTAGCCCTGTCAAGGTATCTTGCAGTTCAGTAACAGACTTTTGAGCTTCGATAACACAGAGAAAGAGGGCAATGATCTATCAGTGTGTTCAGCTGAGCCTCTCAATTTGATTGCAAGAATGGACACAGTACATAGATCCCTGTGTTAGCAGAACACACATCAGAAYAACACCTCAGTCTCTGTCACAGCCCTACACTTGATAGAATTAACATACAAGCATCCTCAATAAATATTTACTCAACTGGAATGGCCTATAATTGATGACTCAGTTTTTACTCCTACGAACTCCTATAAAAGTTTCTGCTCCTAGGAGAAAAAGCCTGTGTTTTGGTCTCACTTTCACAAATGAAGTCCAATGACTAATATCTCAGGCTTCTCCCTGCAGCATTCACTTGGTCTTTGCACAAGCCTGAGAAAGTATAAAACCAAATAKTCAGCATGGAGAAGGCCATACTTAATCTCATGGACAATCCATTGTGTCCTGTYCATACAGAGAAGTGCTCATGTTTACATTTATTAGCACAGAGCAGGCCCACATTTCATCATAAGTACTTGCTCACAAATTAGGGTCGGGTGGCCAACAGCCACCTCCATTCCTTGCCTTTGCCCGTAAGTGGATGTCTGCTAAAACATGTTTAACAAAAGAGCAATTATAGCTCCACTTCAAGTTGACAKATATTGATTTTTTTCTCTTGGAACTCTTTATATTCCCACCTGGTAACATATAGCTCAAGTAACACAGCTCGTGTGTCTACCTTATACTAATATCGACCGCACTGAGTCAGTGAGCTAAAACAAGACTCGCATCTTACAATATTTCCAAAGAAAAGCAAGACTTTATTAATGACTCCCTCCTCCACTACTACTGCTCCTGTACAATCGAAGTCAMTGCATGCAAGAGGCAAAAGGGCACAGAGTCAGTTTGATAGGGATTGCTAAATGCTCAGGCAGAGCCTACGCTTCCTTGCTTAACCATACTCCTAATGCTCTTCAAAATTAAAATGTGGGACAGATGCCCAGTAATCCAAAAGCCAYCTATCAGCAAACTGGAAAAAGAGAGTTAGGCAAAGGAAGGATGTGAGGTGGGGAGGGAACATTTCACCACTTTTCAGAATACACCACATGTTATATYCACATTTCCTTCCCACCTCACTAAGAGAGGGAGAAGAAGACACCCCAGCTGCTCCATCCTCACGAGGTGCCCAAGTTTAAAACCRATTTGCAGGGTGTTATTCCTGCTGCAACTCCCACCTTTAGTTTGCCCCAGCTCCTTTGCGTGCACAGAAGTAGTTTCCTGGGAGAGGAAACACCATCAGACTGCCCCAGGAGAGAGGCATAGACCCCTAGGCCCATGCTTCCTCTCACTTCCTACCAGCCTAAGAGAAAGGTGCCCAAACTCCCCCTTTGCCTCAGGGACYCCCCTTCCATCAGCTTGGGGTACTCCCGGATAAACCTCACTGTCATTGAGTACCTGTCCACCCCTCCACCTCACGGCATCCCATTTTCCAGGGAGCACGCCCTGTACACCTCCGGGAGCACCCCTCACTTCAGGAAACATCTCCCTTCACCGCAGAACGTCCCTGTGAACAACTCAGGGCATCCCACACCTAAGAGAGCACTCCCCCTTCATCTCAAAACACCCCACACTTCAGTGGGAACCCTCGATTAATCTCAGGACACCTTCCTCCACCTCGGCCCCCTCCGAGTGCCGCCCCGAGGCCCCGCCGTACCTGCTGCGAAGGCAGCTCCACATGCAGGGCGCGGGCGGCGGAGCCCGGTGGTAATGCGGCAGTGCCGGCAGCCGAGCTCATCCTCACGTAGGGTCCCCGCTCCACTGCCCCGGGGCCGCCGGGCGCGCAGGGGTTAATGGCGGTAGCAACGCCGACCCCGCCACCCGCTACGGAGCCATATTACCGCAGTGCCGGGGAGGGGGGGGCGGCAGCCGAAGCACCGCCTCCCGAACGACCATTGGTCCTTGCGCCTCGGGGGCGGGAGCTCACCCTCCTTCTCGAATCGCGATTGGGTTAATGCAACGTCAATCAAAGACCCTCTTCGCTGGTCCTGTCAAACCGCTGGAACGAGCGCCGGCGCCGATTAGAGAGCCCACTTCCGGAAGGCGGGACGGCACCCGAAGATTCGGGCGGTGATTGGAGGATATCGGGTTTGATTGACAGGACGCCCTCCGTCACGTGTGCGGGAGCTGTTGTCATCACGTGGTGGGACGGAAATAGTTCCGCGGAGGGGACGGGGGGGGGGAGAGGTCACCATGGCAACCGCAGGGGCTGCGCTGAGGGCCCGACGGCGTGGGGCGGCAGAGGGATCCTAAACACCACCCCGACCTGCCCCACAGCATAGCCACTGCCCCACAGCATAGCCACCTGCCCCACAGCATAGCCACCGCCCCACAGCATAGCCACTGCCCCACAGCATAGCTACTGCCCCACAGCATAGCCACCTGCCCCACAGCATAGCCACTGCCCCACAGCATAGCCACCTGCCCCACAGCATAGCCACCCGCCCCACAGCATAGCCACCTGCCCCACAGCATAGCCACCTGCCCCACAGCATTGCCACCTGCCCCACAGCATAGCCACTGCCCCAGAGCAGGCCAACCCGCCACATGTCATGTCCGTCTATCTCAAGGCAATGTAAAATAAGCCTTAAGCCATTAAAGAGTGCCCGAAGGAGGGCCAGGAGGACGGCAAAGGGTCTGGAGAGCCTTATGAGGAGCAACTGAGGTCRCTTATGCAGCCRRGRGAAGAGGCTGAACAATGAGTGTGGACCTCATTATGGTCTTCAACATCCTCAGGAGAAGCAGAGGGGCAGGTACCAATCTCTTCACTCTTGTCACCAGTGACAGGAYSTGAGGGAATGGCATGAAGCTGAGTTGGGGGAGGTTTAAGTTGGATGTTAGAAAAAAGTTCTTCATCCAGAGGGTAGTTGGGCTCTGGAACTGGCTTCCCAGGAAAGTGGTCACAGCACTAAGTCTGACAGAGCTCAAGAAGTATTTGAACAATGCTCTCAAGCACATTGATGCTTGAAAAAAGGCTTAGAAATAAARCTCCATAGATTGATGTCTATAGAGCAGGTATTTGTTTATTGCAGCGCTGGAGGTGAGGGGGATTTCTGCTCCTAACCCACCTGCCTTTGCTTTAAATTAGCACAYATTTATACAGTMAGCWTGGTGTAACATTACTATAGTCACTGCCCCCCATACGCCCACTATACGCTCACTACTATACATGGGCGTGGAAATACAYGATATCACAGTTTTACAAGTGCGCATGTGTCATCTTCAATTCGGTGATTGCGGGGGTTCCCTTTTAATGAGATACTATTTTCTTTATTATAATAAACTTCTAACTTTTGTCTTTAGGGCATGCACAGTTGTGATGTTTATGGGTTTTTTTCTAATCTTCCAAGTCTTCATTTTCAATTATTTTGCTGACTGTCTTGTGMCTCTGCCAAGTTCTCTTTAATGCTCTCTACTGTTTCTTGTTATAGCATCTACTTGTCTACTTTCTTCAGAACTTTTTCTGATTTATGCTTCTTGGTGATTTTACATATCTACGTGCTAATCCAGCTAGTTAGATTACGTGCAATTAGTACACTATATATTGCTAATACACTCTTAAAAAATTTATAGCAATATATAAAAAAGCTATCAATAATATATTAAAAGCKATTATATTGTATTTTAATAATATGTAAAAAGTTATTACATTTTTATATTGATAATGTATAAAAAGGCTATAGAAAGTTTTCAATTAATAGGTTTTATGAGCACTTTGTCACTTTGATATAAATTATATATATCAACATGGTGGGATTGTTGTCGTGCCCTGCACAGGGTCAGGAGTTGAACTCGATCCTGATGAGTCTCTTCCAACTCGGTTTATTCCATGATTCTATGAACCTGCCCCAYATCACATTCACTTACCTCAAATCACACCAACCTCCACAGCACATCCACCTGCCCCATATCACCCCTGTCTCATGTCACCCCAGCTTGCCCAACAACAGACCAACCTGCCCCACATTGTACCAACCAACTCAGCATCAGACGAACGCACCCCACATCACACAGATTCATCCTGTTCCATGCCAAGCCATGCCACATCAGGCCAACTCACCCCACATCATACCATCCAAGATGCCTACATGCACCAAAGTCCAACCAAACCATCCCCTCAGCACCTGCCTCCATCCCATCCCACCCATCTGGCAACATCCATCCTGAGCAGAGTGACCATACCCACCCAGAACAGCACAATCCCCAYGTACCGCAGAGCCCTCAGAGCACCAGTCCCGTCCCTATCCCCCACTAAGGACATCCATCTGAACAGCACTCTGCAGCACCTGCCTGRACTGGATGGTCGTGCTGGAGACACTCATCCCCATGGCACTGCCACGGACCCAAGGACCATCAAGGAACAGACATTTCCAGTGCTGCAGTATGCTCTGGGGACAGGCTTTCCCCACACTGCTGGTGACACCAATCCTGCAGTGGCACTGGGAAAGCCTGTCCCCAGYGCATACTGCAGCACTGGAAATGTCWGTTCCCAGTGGAAAGGCTGGGACAGGCAGCTCTGGAAGAGTTAAGTGTGCTGTGTAGTGCAGGAAAACCTCATCCTCCTCTCCTCTGCTCCTCTTCTCCTCCAATCTTCCTGTCCTCAGCAGCATGCAGCTCCCACACCATGGASACCATCCTGCTGGAAGCCCACTATTCACCTGCAGTACTTCTGGGTTTGTWATATCCGTGCTGTGGTGATGTGTTGCAACAGCACTGTCTTTAGCTTTTATTTTGGTCTTAGGTATGCAAAAGTGAACTTGTTAAAAAGAGGAAGAAAAATGAAAACTGGAGTGGAAAGTCAAATTTTCTGGAGTTTCATGGCCATCCTCATGGGATGAAGTCATCCTCTTCCATCCTCCTCCTCACTTTGCAGATTCTCACTAAGGTCTGCTTTTTTCCAAAGTGCTTTCTAGTTGAAATGGAGAAGCTAAACTTTYCTCCTGRGTGATTCCCTGGTTTACYCCATAGTAACGAATTTATGTGGACYTTTTTTCCCMAATTGTTTGATTCTACATGTAGGCATCAAATAAATTCAATACCTCAAGATTAACTTTTGGACATCATTGAGCCTRAAGCTGTGTGTGAGTTCTGGGTATTGCTGTCTCTGATCAGGGAAATTAAATATAAACAGTGGCCTTTTTTGGAAGAACTTCTGGGAACAAGTATGTCTCCTTTTTTTCCTTCTGATAAAAAAAAAAAAACCCCTTCTATTTCACTATTTTCAATAGCCAAGTGTTCTATTCTCAAGTGCCCACACTGCTGAACCATGTTGTCAAGATCAGGAAGTTCAAACATAGTAATTTTGGACCGGTTGTATCAGTTTGATTCATCTTCTGGTTTCTGGTTCAGTACAAGACACATTCCTTCCTTTTGAGCTTTCCATCGTCATCTTGGAGGATCGAACCTTGCTTTTTCTGATGAAATCTGGGGGGTTTCTTTGCCCATGGTGTRAAAAATGCATCAGAATGATTTCTGCCTTTGAGACTCTCGATATGTGCCCTCCAGAGGCAAAACTAATTCTAGCTTAGAATTAGGCAGAAAATCAGAGAAGATCACAGCTGTAAGAATAATTTTTCYTGAGATAAATCACTAAAAACCATTTATGGAAGCCATGTGAAGATGCCACTGCTTGCTTGCCCAAAATATATTAAAAAAAAACATAACCTTTTAAAAAAAATCCATCTTCATATGAAACATGACATTTCTGTGATTGATTTTTCCTTCACTTCCTCACCTTCTCCATCTATAAAAAGTGTGTTATCAACATTATTCTCATCCTAAATCCAAAAYACAACCACATACCAGCTATTAGGRAGAAAATTAGCTCTATGCCASAGAATATCAGCACACTAATTTACACAGATTTGGCGACTTTAAAGTCTGTAGGTCATTACCATAGCAGGATTTTCCTATTTTTCTTTATTTACACAGGAACAGACTGTGATCATAAAATAGTTATGTTTAGAGAAGTCAAATGAGTTACTTAACATAGCAGTTCACCTGCCCTGTGTATGGAAATTGCATTTAATTTGCTGCTTGATGTAGACTGAGAGCTCTAACCTGTAATTCAGGGACTAAAAATCAAAACTCCACCCAGAGAAAAATTCAAATATTACCCCAAAACCCATGTGGATTTATTAAAGATTTTATAGCAATGGAACTCATATAGCCGCAAAGAAGTCCCAACAGATTTCCAGTTCACAATAGCTCAAGCTTTGGCTTCATTCTAAATTTCAGACTGATCATTGGGATTTGTATCTTAGCATGAAAAAGAACCTTTTACAAGGGCATTATAAAATGGATATAGGGGGATAAGGGTTCAGATTTATATCTGATTTTCATGAGTTTTGAGAGGTTTAGTCCTTGCCTTGTATAGCTCTCCACAATGAATATTCAACATGACAGCCATTTAATAACCCAGATTGTTTCTGAATTGTAGGGCTTACAATAATTAGTTCATTAATAAGGAATGCTGGATTATTTTAAGTAGAGTATTTGCAAGCTGCAGCTGAAGAGTGGCTTATTTTGTCCCTAATCATGAGCAGTCACTGGAGGCAGTAATGCTGGAGCAGTACTACCTAATTCATCCATGTACATGGCACTACATAGGACCCTGTGGGATTTACTGATGCCCTAGGAAACTATGATTTGAATTTTTTGATCACATCAAAAAGCTTACATTATCTGTTTGCGTTCTTTTGAAGATCACAGTATTATCTTTATTATGTCCCCTTGGGTGTCCCTGCATTGTGATACCATAAAAAATGAAGTTCCTGTGGCTGCAGCAAGTACAGGGATGCACATAGTGCTCCCACATTCATAATCTCCCCACCTGTCCAACCTGAGTGGTGTGACTGCTGTGTAGAGTGAAGGGATGGCATCCAGAAGGA